CCTAAACATCTCAGAAATCCGCCGCCGGCCGAAGTAGGAAAAAACTACCACTAAACGCACCTTAGTCACTAATTGCTGTTTTTCACCAGTTCAAAGTCTTCTGCAGTATATGGACACTAATTGCCCGCTTTTAACGTGCAGTCGCAGGTGGACTTTTGCTGGGCCACGTGCAAGGCTGCCATTTCAGCAACTCGACACGACCGTTGATGACGGAGTCTCAAGAAAAAATTGGCCAAGTTGGCAACGCCGGGTCAAATGTGCAATCAACGGCACAATGAGTGGTAACGGGCAGTTTTTTTCCGTATGTTGGGCACAAGCCGCGCTGAAAAACTGGTCGACGAAGCTGAAATTTCGAGAGGAATACGGAAGAGAGAGTTTAAACTGGCCGTCTTTAAATCGAAAGGAGCTATCTCCGATAAAACCTGAGCCCTGAGACCCGTAAGGATGCATGCATGACATGGCCCGTATTACAGAGGAGACAGCTTCTTTTGATTGATAAATGTTCGACTTAACGGCGGCTTCTTGAGTACACGCGGAACAGGTAAAAAGTCTCCTTTTTACGCTTATGGGGGATTAAATCCAGATAGCACTTTCGGATGCTCTGAAATAGCGGTCTTTACCGCATTTTTTGTCGCTTATTTGTATCGGTTCGGACGAAGGCACGGCTCGAATTATTTTTTTTTTCGGACGATTTTGGGCTGAAACCCTGCCCCCAATAGCAGGAATGGCAATTTTTGTTCTGACACGTTCGTCAAACTGATACGGGCAATATCAACAAAAGTGCTGTCAGATTTACTGGCAATAGTTGCTTTGTTTTTGATGTCAAAACACCACCGAGACGTTTGATAATTTGATGATAGCCGCTTATTCAAAATTAAATGGATTGACCCAAAGTCAGCCTAACTACACCTCAAGTTGCGTAAGTTCCTCTCAAATTGAATTCTTTTCAACGGAAGACTGAACAACAAACCGCCTTTCTCTGATTTTTTTAAGTATAGGTATACATTCACAAAATTTCAATTTAGAATATTATTTAGTTTTTGTTGAGAAATTATAGCGAGAGAAAAAGTAAGACAACTAAGACGAGTAAGAATCGCTTCTCCGGACTGATCATTGAAACTGATAGACAAAGCTATAGACAAAGATGACAAAGGGAAAATGGAGCTATCCTAACGATTGAAACGGTGGTTGTTGTAGACTAATTGGACTGCATTTTGCAATTTTGAACTATAAATTCTGGCTCTTCCGGAAAAACACTTCTGTGCATAGGGAAACTAATGGCACTTACGTTGTTTTTAAACCGGGCTAGACTTTATGATTCCAAATTGCAAAATGTAGTCCAATTGTAAGAGGGAAAACAATGGATTAACTATAGGGTCTCTCGTTGATTGCCGTTGGTTAGTCTATTACTTTACCTACTTTGTCCATTGCGACCATCCATTTCCACCAATAGGGTCCTTACATTTTCTCTTTATCACCTTTGTGTAAATCTTTGTTTATCAATTTTAATAATCTGCCGAAATATAATTTAAATAAGATGATCTATAATAATCAAAATCTATAAACACCAAAAATATATAAAAGCATAACGCGAGCGTTTTTTTTACTGAGAAACGCGATTCTTTAACACGGCTATGAATAATAGGGAGGGAGACCATCCCATCAGCTTGTACCTCGGCACCCTAACGGCAAAAAAAGAAGGTTTTAGTGAAGGTATACGATTCAAAAAACTTGTTTTCTTCTCCTACATGCCCTCGCCTTGAATACATGACACCCTTTCTTGAGGATCTATCAAGAATCGTGTCATCCAGTAGCACGAGCTACAAGAAACAATTCGTCGCCGCGTTGACGAGAGGGAGAGGGCCCGACTCCATTTTTACGGGGGCCCTGGGAGGTACTGAGTAATACGGGATACAGGGCTCGCCTTAAATGGAGATGTTGCATGTGTGAGGAATTTGCGATTTGACTGTTGATTCTTATGTAAAAGTTCGCGAGAAACACGATGGTGCCACTGGTTTTCTCTGAAATCAACTCCCAAGCTCTGAAAAAGCTCTCAAGTTGAGGCCAAAATGGAGGGGATATCCCACGCTATCCTAAGAGTCCACCTCTACATCAAGACAAACTCTCCATGCAAAGATAGGGAGCAAATACATTGGCAGGGTTGCCGTGTTTTCAGTTTTGGAGTCTCCAAATAAAGAGGCAGCCATATGAGCCATGTCAATTAATTTGCTCCCTATCTTTGCATGGAGAGTTCGTCTTGATGTAGAGGTGGACGTGGACTCTCAGGATAGCGTGTGATATCCCTTCCATTTTGGCCTCACTTGAGAGCTTTTTTTGAGCTTGGGAGATGATTTCAGAGAAAACCAGTGGCACCATCGTGTTTCTCACGAACTTTGACAATATAATCAACAGTCAAATCGCGAATTACTCACACATGCAACATCTCCATTCTTATGAAAAAGTTCGAAGTTCACCGCCAAAATCCATCAGTGGACGTAAGTAGAAGTACAGTGCATTAATTTTCTTGTCTTATAGCTATTTTTGCATACCTTTCAAAATTTGTGGATGCGGCTTGCATACCAGTGGCGTTCTGGGCTCTTCCTGATGGCCGATCTGATTTTTGTGTCCGTCTTTAGAAACTGTTTCGCGCCAACTTTCTCCGCAAGCGCGCATACTTGCGGTGATAACATTGACTCGGATTGTACAAGACGGTATTTCCGAACTGCCAACGGTTACGAGAACAAGACCAGAGGGTGAGAAACCTTGGTTGCTCGATTGTAGCGTTCACGCCAAGTAACTTAATGAAAATCTTCAGCACTTTCGAGGATGGTTCAATAGTGTTGATCGGCCAATATACTGATTTAGTGACCACGTAATTCGATATAATATCAAACTCTTGGTTCAAACCAAAAAAAATATAAACTAACATAACCTCATGAACGAATTCTTCATGAGTTAATTGTGTTACATTATTGAAAGTTAGTGATTGACCGGTCATATGTCGATTGAAGACTCATTAAACACAAGAACTTTCGATTGTGAGAAACATGTGAACGCATTTTACCACCATATGACAAGGGGCGCGAATTAGAAACAAGGTTCTGTGTTTGTTTACATTTTTACCAAGGGCTCGATATTATATCGAATGACGCAGTCACTAAATCAGTCTATTGGTAATTTCTAAATTATCTAGTCATGTATTTAAAATGCCCGAACGTCACATCACGCTGAAGTACATCAGGTAAGTATTTGTACACAAAAAAGACCGAGAAACACTACGGAATAACCTCGAAAATATGTTCCGAGTCAATTTCGCAATTCATTTTGTCTCTTAATTTGCAATTTTCACTGGCAACATAATTGCTTTTGAAGTTATCTTGGGATGCGTCTGGATCAAATTTTGAGTGAAAATGCCTTTCGAACTGCAGAAACGACGTAACACACGTTTGGTGATTTTTAAAGAAACTGTCCTAAAATCCAGACACACGATACCTTCATTCTTGTATTTAACTTAAATGCTGCGATAAAAATGGGTTCTCATTGGCTTCATTTTTTATATTTTTACATGCTCTGTCAAATATTTGGTCAAGAATAATGTTGTTTTAAGTTGAGTGGAAGTTAAGAATATTATATTTATTTGTCTGATGCTCTCTAAGTAATACTTTTAAAGCAAAAATGTATAGTACTAGAGTGAAAATATAAAATTATCTTTTGCGCTTTGTTGTTACATTGTGACAAGGCTTTATTTTCATGATAAGTCAATGATTTTGGCGCAATATGGCAATTAGGGTTGCAGTCATGTCAAGATTCCGCGAGCCCGTCGTCTACTGTGGTCTTGAATTTGAAGGAAAGTGAACACAAGATGCGAAGTTGCCAAACCGTCGTTTCAACGATAGTTTATTTTTTATGCTTCCCTTACGGGATTCTAAAACTGCGATAAAAACAAGGTAACACTTCTACACTCTCAAATCAAAAGTTAAAAGACGTATTTTTTCCACTCCCCGATCAGAAAAAAGCATCATATTTTGGTCTTCATTTGAGAGAGAAACCATCAAGAGCCATCAGTCGTAGATCCAATAGAACAAATGGCTGTAAATTTAAAGAGCATGACTTGTGTCTGATAAATCATGTACGGTCAGACGAACCCGAATCCCTACATTTGATCTTAGAAAACGATACGATTGAAACATGCCAACGGAAGATCGAACACGAGATAACATCAAAAGATCAGTGACAACAGTAAACAACTTGCCATCGGTTAGTGAGCTTTGGACGAGTAAAGACAGACGATCGAAGACCAAAATTGTGCAGGTAAATGATGGTACCTAAATTAAGGGTGAAGCTTTTGGTCTACCTTTTGATTTGAAGGCATTTTGTGTGATCTTCCACAGCTTGTATTTTTCGAATCAAACTGACAAGGCATATCGAGGGCTGGCGATTGCAGTTCAATAATTGACAGGAGTGAAAAGTTCTGTTTAAAAGTTCTCACTGATCAGACGGAGGACATTTTTTTACCTGAATGTATTTAGAAAATTCTGTAAAGGATACTGCTCAGGTGCTGTTTCTGAACCTCACAATCAGACTGCTTTCTCAAGCAATTTGGAGTGGTTTAGAGTTGGTCATAAAAAAGGCGGGAAAATACGCCTGGGACATCAGTCTTACGGCCTTCCTTTAGACAGTAAGAAACTTTGCGATGCAGCCCAAAAGATGTTTTCAATTCAGAGATTACACGGAAAGTAGGGAGTGAGACACGTTATGCGTCATACAAAATTTTACGATCTTTAAAATTTTGCTTAAAAAAGAACCGAGGTACAAATTTCCGTTAAATCCAGCAGAGAAAGATTTTGAGTCCGCAGAAAAATTTATGGAATTATAAGCTATAGACATTCTCAGCAAAATAGACTTTGCAAGATGCAAACAACCCCTAATATAAACTACCCTTCTTTTTCCCTAATTCATCGCTTCTCTAATCACACTAAAAGCTAAAAAAAGTCACAAACCTTTTTTATTCATGAGCGACGCAGGACGAGGATAAAGCACCACACCTACACACACACGCACAATTGATCAGAACTTTGTCAAAACACTTCCCATATTTGCGCGAAACTCAGGCGCGTGAACTTTTACCACCAGTAGGAAGAAAATTGTAAAAAACACCGGGAGAAGAAAAATTTTCGGGGGACACTTCACAATTCCCGCGGGAAACAACCCGAGCACAGGACGACTCCGATAAGCCGTCGCGTTATCAGTGATAAGAAAAGAGTTTCGCGGACTGCCTCGAGAGAGAAGGAAAGCGCGATCTGTGCGCGTGAGGAGAAATTGGCGTGAACGTAGTTTTAGAGTCGACGTCGTCTTCGGAGACGAAAAAGCAGGTGAGAGAGCGACTTGCGTTCGGAAGAAAGCTGAGTCTTCGACTGGTACCCGTCTCGACGGGCGTCGGAGCGGCGGCGTCGGGACGCAGGGCGGGCGGGGAGGGGGCGGTTTACCGGTTCACGCGCCAGGTCCCCCCGGTACCGCCTGCCGGCCCGGGCGAGCGGAAGGGGGGACTGCTACCTGTTGTACAACGGTTATACCATACTTTGTGGGCGTATCGGGTAAAGTTCGGCGAGTAAAAAAGTGTCGAAAGGCGCCAATGATACAGTAGGACCGGAGGACGTTCGTTATCCGCGGATCGAAGTGTGAGAGAAAGGCGCCTGTGAAGTAGGGTGCATACAGAGAGACGTCCATCATCCGCGGATAGAAGAAAAGCGCCAATGGAATACATGATACAGGGTCATTCAAAATTCACGCACCACTGGCCATGAGGGGGGTGGCCATTTGAAATTTTTAGATGCCCCCCGCCGCTGATCAGGGGCGGGGGATCAAAAACTGGTAAGTACCTTAAAACAGTTTTCCCTTCGATATGAGGAAAAACGTCAAAAACTGCAAGTCGATATCTTAATTAGAACTATGGTTATGGCCAGTGGTGCGTGACTTTTGAATAACCCTGCATGTAGTAGGACCAGAGGACCTTCACTATCTGCGCATCAAAGTGTGAAAAAAAGGCGCCAGTGGAGTAGGGTGCATACAGTGGGACCTCCATTATCCACGAGTTGACTTGTGAAAGAAAGGCGCCATTGGAGTAGACTGCTTACAATATTATCTCCAATATCCGCGAATCGACATGTGGAGGAAAGGCGCCGATGGAGTAGAATGCATACATTAGGACCTCCATTATCCGCGAATCGACATGTGAAAGAAAGGCGCCAGTGGAGTAGGGTGCATACAGTGGGACCTCCATTATCCACGAATTGACGTGTGAAAGAAAGGCGCCATTGGAGTAGACTGCTTACAATATAATCTCCAATATCCGCGAATCGAAATTTGGAGGAGAGGCGCCAATGGAGTAGAATGCATATATTAGGACCTCCATTATCCGCGAATCGACGTGTGAAAGACAGGCGCCAGTGGAGTAGGGTGTATACAGTGGGACCTCCATTATCCACGAATTGACTTGTGAGAGAAAGGCGCTATTAGAGTAAACTGCTTACAATATGATCGCCAATATCCGCGAATCGACATGTGGAGGAGAGGCGCCGATAATGTAGAGGGTATACCGTAGGACCAGAAGACGTTCGTTATCTGCGGATCAAAGTGTGAAAGAAAGGCGCCAGTGGAGTAGGGTGCATGCGTCGTTAGAGTAGATTGCATACAATAAGATCTCCAATATCCGCGAATCGACATGTGAAAGAAAGGCGCCAATGAAGTAGAGTGCATACATTCGGACCTCCATTATCCGGGAATCGACGTGTGAAAGAAAGGCGCCAATGGAGTAGAGTGCATACATTGGGACCTCCATTGTCCGCGAATGGACGTGTGAAAGAAAGGCGCCAATAGAGTAGAGTGCATACATTAGGACCTCCATTATCCGCGAATCGACGTGTGAAAGAAAGGCGCCAATGGAGTTATGGGTATACGGTAGGACCAGAGGATCTCCATTATTCGTGAGTCGACGTGTGAGAGAAGGGCGCCAATGGCTTAGAGGATATATAGTAGGACCAGAGGACCTCTATTATCCGCGATTCGACTCATGGAACAAAAGGCACCAATGAAAGATCTCCATTATTTGCGATTCGGACTATCCGCAAGCCCCAGGGAGGAAGGTTTCTTCCGTTTTTTGATGTATTAACTATAAACGTATGTCCATCCGAATGGTTTTTGTTACTATGAAACATGGTATAACAAACTATCTTTAGGTCTATTGACCATGGACACATCGATTACTGTGATAGGTTGATTGATATAACTGAAATTTGATATTTTGCAGCTTTTGTCCAAATCTGCTGTCTTTCCATGTAATCATCCAATTGAAAACATATATTGGGGCTACATTAGAATTTTTTTTTTTTACTAACTAAAGGAAGACCGAATGCTGTCCAAGACTTATTTTCTCGCTTTTCCTATGATCAACTTTAATCCGCTTCATATCGCTTGAGGAAAAAGTCTGAGGTTTAATCACAGCATCTGAGTATATATTATCTCCTGCAGAATGTACTAAACACATTCAGATAAAAAAAATTCCCTCAGTCTGATCAGTTAGAACTTTAATATAAGGCCTTTTCGAAGCCGTTTACTTTTTAATTCTAACGGACATTGAACTGCAAACGTCAGCCCTTAAAATGCCTCATCAGTTTGATTCGAAAAATGTGAGATAAGGAAGATCACAGAAAATGCCTTCAAATCGAGGGGTAGGCCAGAAGTTTCACTGCAATTTACCATTATTTCTCTTCTCAAGTTTGCCTTCCTTTAGCTTTCTGCTGAATATTATAGCCCCCCATCTAAAAGTTGATTACAAATAGAGCTAAAATAATGAACTTGACTCAACTGACTAAATGACTTAAAATGGAATGTTGAATTCAACATTTTTAAGAGGAAGAAATGACACCATGAAAAATTTACAAGATGATTTTATATTTTTCTGCTTTTGGTACATGGTTAATTAGCAATCTACCATCATAACTTAGGGAAGCAACGATCCACGGATCCGCTGAAGACCACTCGACACAATAAACTGAATCCTCATGCTCTTCAAAAGTTGCTATCACATCATCAACATTCTTGTCTGATTTAATACTTTCACTTGGCTTGTTACTATTTTTGACATCCAAATCACCCATATTTTCTACATCCTCGTCTAAAATATCGTCGGCCTGATTGTACGATGATTCTGATGAGATACTGGATAGACAAGTTAATATAACTTTCATATCACTACTAGACGTTGCAATTAGTTGATCATGGTAATGATTGTACCTAAGGCTCCACACCCAGTGAGCATGGTCCGATCGCGTGATCACAGGCTTTGTGAGATTCCGCATATCCCAGAATTTTGATTTCCCATCGTCCCCGCACGTACCGAGGAAGTGTTGTCGATTTGGATTGAAATCCAAGTCACTATGGACAAAGAGAATATCAAGTTTTACTGAAGGCTCCTTATACAATATAATGATAATTGAAGAGAGAAAATTTGAAACTAAAATACACATATGTAAGATTTTATAAGTAGCCTGGGTTTCAATCAAAAACGACCATTTTACATCCTGAGATAATTCCAAGCAAAAGTATTTAAAGCTTTGCAAAGAAAACAGAAAAAACCCATAAGAAATGAAACAATGTGCTGAAGATAAGAGACCGGTTCTTTCGCGTTTTGAAGCAATCTAAATCCAGAGGATGATCCTAATCACAATTGCAAAATTGCACATATTAAAAGTGAACAAAGCAAATCAACAAGATTTTCACCGAATAATTTACATACCACAGATTGCGGATGCAAGAGACATTAGAAATGGAATGATGAGACATCCCAGTGTGACACCTTTGAAGTGAATTTTTAATCACTTCTTTTTGATAAATCTTCAAAATTATAAACCCAATAGAACAAGATCAGTCAGTACTTTGATTTTGACTGGTAATAAAAGCAGTTGTTTTTCAATATCAACAAATTTAAGTGTCATATCCTCATTTAATTTCTTGGTTTAGTGCAAAATTAGTCACCTTGGTCACTTTTACTCAACTTTCAGAATGAGACAGAACATGAGCCATGTTACACCTTGCATTCATTTTCGATAAAAAATGAAAATGGAAAACCTTCTATTGCTTGATGAAACCGAACTTTTAAGGTACCTAATACTTGAATCCACCTAGACTGCTTGAAACTGCCTTCAGCATGGAAATTTCAACACATATAAGGAACTTTTAAGGAGATCTTAAGTCAAGGTAGTTTAAAGGTATGTCTTCAAATTTGAATGAAAAATTAGCCAATTTAGCAAATAAATTTGAAGTTTCAATAATTCCTCCTGAAAATTTTAAGGTCAAAACAATGAACGCAGTGAATGCTTCCAAATTCGGCCGCTTTTTGAATGTTTGCAGTTTTCACCAGTAAATACTCTTACTTGAAAAATTGCATTGAATCATCATGATCCACAGATATGAGCAATAAGATTGATATCCGAAAATTTTCCAGTTTTTGCTGATACTGTTTCTGTGTTAAAAAATTGGACAGTTCCTATTTGGCAGATTATCTTACAAAAATGGGCAATACTTCTGGAACAATTATTTTCATCCACACTGACGGATTCTTTTAAGCCCTATTAGAATTGCAAAACAAGCTTTTTTCACTTTCTTCTGTAATTTCAGTGAGAACCCCTTTTTTGAACTTATCTTCCTGATAATGCATCAGTAATAAAAGTCAAAACCCCTTTTATCAAAATCCTGGCCCTGGATAAACGCTTTTCCCTCATATCTCTGCAACCAGCCAAAAATATTCCCAAGTCCAATGAAAGACTCCAAATTGTTCTCTTACGTCTTATCGGATAAAATTTTGGTTCGACTCTTAGTCATACAAGATCATGCAGACTTCCACCACCTCTATCCACATGCAGTACATTGCACCTACTTTAATTAACTTATCTCATGAATATAATGCAAAACACTTACCGAACGAACTGTGAATGTGCTTCTTGAATGACCCAAACTTGACTAGACTGCGCTCTTAAATCCCAACCGCGGACAAATGTTTCATTCAGTGTAGCAAACTGAGATCCAGACTGTTGAGGATTAAATTTTCCTGAGTAAAACTTTGGTTGTCCTGTTAAATCAATCAAAAGTCAGGCAAAATTAATTGAACGAATGGAACATTTTTACAAATTCAAATTTTTTACAACATCCAAGATTAAAACTGATGACACATAATGCCCAGATTTGACTTCTCGCTGTTCTGAAAGCAGCTAAAATGATGAGGCACCTATGATTGTTTCAGCAGGAAAGATACATATTTTGGAGGGGGGACGACCTCACCCTACAAATAGTAAATGAATTCTATTATTTTTTGGCGAATTTGACTTATTTTCCATCAAATATTACCTGCTATACTATTACTTCAAAAAAGAAAATATATAAAAAAATAATAAATTCTGAAAGTACTAAATTTTCCTTCTCCTTTCCTCTGAAAGCCGCTCCTCAGCAACTGCCTGAATTACCTCATTGATAATGCAGGACATGCAATAGATATAAAGTTCAGGATATGGTAGTAGAAAAGCAGTAGTAAAAAAAGGGGAGGGAGGAGAAGAAAGAGAAATTTTATTAAGAGTGATGGAAAAACTATATGTATCAAAGGCTTGTCTTCGACTACTTGGAACTTTTTGGAGTAAATGGTCTCCATCCATTTGATCTTCTAAACATGAATATGGTCTAGGTGAAGACACCAATGAAAAAAGCGAACGTTGCAGTTACACTAGGTTTATGGAGCTAGTCAGACACTAGGAGAACATGGAAAAAATTAAATTGCTGATTTAACGATTCAATTGCTAAAATAAGTGCGTGCAATATTTCAACGTAGATTTCACAACAAAAAAATGCTACTTTAATCACTAATGTAAGCTAATTTAACCACGGGGGTGGTTAAAGTAGCATTTTTTGTTGTAAAATCTACATTGAAACATTGCAGTCACTATTTTTAGCAATTGAATTGATAAATCAGCAATTTAATTTCTTCCATGAAGAGTTGAGTTTGTCTTAAAATGGTACCTTTTCCTTCCATGACTGTTTCTGAGGTTAATTTGGCGGAATTTTTTCCCAGATCCCATAGGAGGATTTTATTTTCTACAACTGAAGCTAATTTTGTCTGGTCGGTTGGATGGAAAGCAGTGACCTGAAAGAAGAACAAAAGAGAGAAAATTTGACCAATAGCTGGAGCAATAAACACTTTACAGAAGTAAAGATAGCTGTATTAATTGTTTGCTTTAATTACAACTTTTCACAGAATAAAAACAAAACAAAAATTCCTGATGAATCTTTGTCTTATTTTAAATCATCCCCATGATAACTTGGTGAAAAATCTATTGGAGAAGTTGATCAAAATAATTTTTATAAGATTGTAATAAATATGTAAATTACTCAGGAATTCTGAACATCGTAAACTGGCTTTGATTTAAAAGTGAAGATTTCATCTCATTTTTCATACCACGCTTTGAGATGCGATTTAGTAAAGGACATATACTTTAGTAAATCCAACTTATGAAGTATTGAACAGTATCAGTGAATCAAGTCCTGTCATTGAATGTTGGCGGTTAAATGTAGCTCATCCTTAAGAATTCCTGAATATAAAATATATAATAAGAAAGAAAAAGATTTACCTTAACTTCTGGACCGTGAGATAGAAAATCAAAATCGCAAACTTTTTCCAGAGGTAGAAGAGATTCACTTGTTCCATCATCATTGGGTAAACGCCATAAGCTGGACCCCATGGTGCAGTGTAGTTCTGGTGAGGTCACAACTGAGTTGTAACATGTGACAAGAAGACTTGCATCATAAGGAGAAGAAATCAGAGACCATATTTCTCCGGCATCATGCTGATATATCTGAGAGGCAAATAAAAAAAACAATAATTCGATGAAAAATAAAGAACATTTAAAAATTTTGCAACAAAGCTTTTCCCCCACTGCTGATTCATTGATATGGCTCGTTTGAAATAACATGGCTCGTTTGAAATAACATGGACAGCATGGCAAAATCAATTGATCTCATTCCTCTCTCTCGATGACCTCTTTGGAAGAAAAGCCAAGAAAAATGGTAAGGACTACGTATAACCATGATAAAATGAACCACCCTCTCAATCTTCAAAATCAATTGATTTGGATGATAATGAAACCTATTGACTGGGCACCAACTTTTTTAGGCAGAATCTTATTAATATTCAATAAGAAAAAACTTGGCCGTGGCCTTTTTTTGTAATTTGTGACTTTCTTTGCCGCAAGGTACAACCCCTCTACCTCATACATAGACACTTTGCTTCCCCGTACACTTCCTTTCTCTCTTCAATTGGTTGTGCCAGCTACATCGTTAAAATCGCCACCAAAAGTAGAAAAGCTACCATCGTCAGTTATTCCTTTATGCTCAGCATTCCCACGGTTAGTTTCCTTAAAATTGATTGATTGTCTATAGTCTCTTTAAGAAACTAGAAAAAATTTTGTCACGTATTACTTGACTCAGGTCATGCCATAAAAAGAATATGGAATGTGCCAGAGGAGGAACTACAAAGGAAGAATGAGAAACAACTTAATCAGCCAAAATCAGCCTTTTCCCCAAATTAAGTTGTTATTTTATTACAGAGGAAGAGTTCAGACACAGCCTAAACTCTGAATACTAATAGTTGTGAGAGCTGCGGCACAGCAGAGAGTGGATTTACCTCCCATAGACCTTACATAAAATACATATTATGAGAAGCAGCTATGAGATGGGTAATATTTCAATAATTAAAATGTATACTAACTTTTGCTGACATGTCATTTGTTTCCTCATTCAATTGGACGATGTGAACTTGGTTGTTAGACATTACCAGTGATTGAGTTCCTATCAGGAATCCAACTGAATCTGTGTCAGCTGTTAGAGCAGACAGAGTTCTTGCCTGTAAACATTAGAGTTTAAATGCTAGACTCAAAGGAAACTTATTGAAATAAATCTCACAAAAATTATAGATCGATAGCTGAGTAGAAGCAGGGGTGCAGAAAATTTTAAGCTTTCCCCAATTTATAAATTTCCTTCCCCAAAATTTGCTGAAAGTCTTCCCCAATTTTCACAAATTTTTACAGCCTTTCCCAATTCTGAGTGGCCACGTGATCATGATCGCGGGATCGAGAACATTCCGCTCCCCTCAGTAGATGAAGCTAACAATAGGTAAGTATGATATACTATATAGCTGTTTAAGGCGTAGAAATTATTGGCTAGGTACTTATCCAATGGTTGTTGCTTTATTTTAAGCGGATAATAATAGATTCTCAATAAAATGAGTCTTGGTGCCAGGGCCGGATTTACCTATGGTGCATCGGTGCAGCTGCACAGGGCGCCAGATTTTGGGTTTTTTTTTCTAAACTCTGAAAAAAATTGAGAATTGTGTCGAAAGTTCAGAAACTCTGATTGTTGATTCATTGTATTGCGTTCCATCTTTTAAATGACCTGACCCTAGACTTTAAGGGTCAAACTTTCTCTTAGTTTCGTAGTTAACAGTAACAGGAACAGGTACCTGGTTTTGGTTTCTGCCCCAGAATCATTCACTCACTCGAAAACTTCGTATTTAGTTAGAGTTAGCACGTAGTAACCAAAGAAGACCGTCGGGTTGGGAAATGTGCGGGTGGGGATGGGGGGACGTGCAAGGGGGGTGCCTCGAAAATTTCTGCACAGGGCGCCAAAAACGTAAATCCGTCCCTGCTTGGTGCTGATTTGAAGAAAAAATACATCACAGTAATCTCTAGTTGAGAGAATTGGGCTCACGCTAAAACATTTACTCTATTTAGGAATGCAGCAAAAGATTTACTGTCTTCCTTCCACTAAGGAAGTTGGAATAGAGCAGTTTGTGTCTCTGAGATCAATACAAAGAGCATAAGAATATATTACAAGTAGATCAGAAAAGGCTAATGAACTGAATTTACAGTACAGGTGGTTGACTTGACTATTACCTAGCCATGCAGAGTAGGTAAAAAATTGTAAGGTATACCTTGTACTCAAGACCGTAAATAGCAATGTCCTCCTTCATGTTTGGGTTTTTTTACACTGGTGACAAGAGTCCAAAAGACTGATCAAAGTTAAAATCTCCGCAGAGGAAACTGTACAAGTATGTTGTTTTCAGTTGCTACCTAAGGAAATGGTCACGTCTTTTTAATATACGGATGACAGCACTGATACTTATTATTTCGCTGACAAGATGAACTAATGATTGCGATTTTGAAACACTAAAATAAATATAAATTCACACAAATAACGCTAAAAGAGTATTTACTATCCCGATTTCATCGCAGGGGCAGGTCTGTTTACATGTTTACATTCGCCAAGAAACCTAACCAAACTTTCAATGATGACGATGATGCAGTGCTGCCGTATTAGGCACTTATGTTGCCAAATTGGAATCTAGCTCCGCTCCACATTTTGGATCCCCCCCCCCCCTTGCCAATCAACAACTTTTACACATTCGACGGTAAAATTGAAAAATCACCTCGATAATGTATAGTACTTCGCTCCTTCACTTGATAACATAAAAATATAGAGCCCGTTTCAGACAACCTGTCCTATTTCGCTGTGTGCACGGCAAAAAAGGTCAAGCGCTAGGCTAACAGGTAGCCGGTAGCCTCGGTTAATTTGCGTAGTTAGATTATTCGCTGGGGGCTGCCCCCCCCCCCCATAACACCAGGAGAATCCCGCCTCCCCTCGTTAAAAAGAGGGTCTGGGGGGCCGGGGGCCTCTACCAAACTGTAGTATTGACCTTTAGATTCCCAAGAATTTTTTCATACGCTATGTTCAAAGTCGAGTCTAATTCACTCGTATTTAAATACATGGATTTTGATAGTTTTGCAAGTAATATCCATGTTATTTCTATGTTTTTGAAGGTAAGAAATACCTTTTCCTTTTTTTTTAAAAAAAAAAGAGAAAAAAATTCACCTTTAAAGTGATATATTGACATATTCTCACCCCCCTTCCTCATCCTATATAAATCTTCCGGAGGAGATCAATATTTCTCGGCTTGCGATTTCTGAGAGACATCTATAGACATGTTTTTACTTTTTTTCTCTTTTTTTTTAAAGTAATCATTGATTTAGACACATCACAGCATATTTTGAAAAAATTATACCTAAATTTTTCTGAAATTTCCGAAATAAGCGAAACTTCAACGCGCGCGAGACGTGCAGAACTAACATAACATGGAAATAGAGCAAGGCAAGGGAAAGGATGGGTGTTTATGACGGCGCAGAGATACAACTATTCATGCTTGATGGGTGTCCGTGGTGCATCTACAAAATTGAAGGCGCGATGGCGCGAGGCGTGAAATCGCAACGCTCCGTTGTAGGCTGCCAATGAGGAGATGCTCAGATTCGAGAGAAAAGTTTAATAACGAGGCCCGAGTACGTCTCTAGTATTTTCGGCTTAGTTGACACTCGATTTTTTTCAATTTTTCAATATTTGATGACTGATTTTTTTTAATGATAAATTAGTAGACCTGTGTCAGAGGCTCGTATGTAGCGGCCCCGTACAAAGCGGGGGCCATACGTGTATTTAGCAAGTCTCGGGTCAATTTGACCCGGCTTGGACATCTAAGGGTTAATGTATTTTGAAAATGAAACATGCATGTCATTAATTTGTGGTTTTTCTCAATCAATTAACAAATTTTTACGCAGTGAAAGTGTGTAATGTGTGACGGCGCAGAGATACAACTATTCATGTTTGATGGTTGTCCGTGGTGCATCTACAAAATTGAAGGCGCCGTGGCGCGAAGCGTGAACTCGCAACGCTTCGCTATTGGCTGCCAATGAAGTGTTGCTCAGATTCGAGAGGAAAGTTTAAGAACGAGGCCCGAATGCGTATCTTTTATTTACGGCTTTGTTGATACTCCATTTTTTCAATTTTTCGATATTTAATGTCTTTTTCAAAGATGAATTTGTAGACCTGATCAGAGGCTTATATGGACGTATTTCTGTCAAACAGAACTATGTGCATTGAGACATGAGCCTTGGGACCCGTAAAAATGCTTGCGTAACACGGCTCACGTCAGGATGCACATAGTTCTGTTTGGCAGAAATATGTCCATATGTAGCGGCCCCTGCGCGAGCCACGTGTTTTTTGTATTGTGGCATTGAAATATGCACGTCGTGATTTTATGTGGTTTTTCACAGTCAATCAATGAATCTTTGCGCGGTGAAAAAGTGTAATATATTCCTGAGTTTTCACTACGAAAAATAAGAATGAAACAATTTACTGGAGTTATTTATCCCCGTTCAAGACCCGTATCACACGGCAGCTTTAAAACACTTCAAAACTAAGAAGAGAGAGCGAAATAATCGTATACTCAGGAAGTTAGGAGCTTGATAAAATTGATAACCCCGTCTGTCAAATTTTAAGGCTTAAATTCAAGTATGATGTACCTAATTATCTTGAATGTGTCCTTGTCAGTACTATTCATTACAAGGATCCACTAAGGTATAGCATCTTTCGGTTATACAAGCTTGGATGACTCTTTTTGATTACAACATTTTTTTCAGCTGCTTTTGAGGTAAGGGAGTAATGAGACAATATTCCTTCCCACATCTTAAAATGAACTCGCCGCAAATTGTTTGATTCTTTTTTTATTTATTTATCTTAGGGTGACAATCTCAATCTGTGCGTACCGTGCTCCGACTGCTGACGTACAAATACGGGAAGATAAGTACCTGAATGATGAGTTGGACGGATCAATCTAGTATGGTGCTGCCGGAAGACCCCTTGGACCCCTTGTATCCAGTGCCTTGGACAAGAATGGATGAACTTTTGGCAAAACTTCGTATTGATGTACCTATTTCACAACCAGTAAGTGCGTTTGCTAAATTGAAAGTCATTCACACGCGTTTATAATTTACTTACTCTATTGACTCCTACAGTCTTAACTATGGTTTATTTTGATTGCATTCATGCAGATATCAGTGTATTTTATAGCTAAAAGGGCAGTACAAGAATTTATCAACTTTCAGGTTTATGGAATGGTTGAAACTGCCCTTCGATGGAAAAATACCGACGCCTCGAAAAAGATTGAAGTTTACACCACCGGTGAACGATTTGAAAACTCTGCTATTGTTGGGATTCATAAAGTAACGGTAAGCCTCAGCTAACTCCATTTCATATTTCTCAAAAATCAAATCAGGGTTAACGATTTTATGTGACTAGCGTCACTTTGGACTCAGTTTCTCTGAGACCTCTTAGAACATTTTCTTTAGGAGGATACTCCTACTTCACAGATGAGAGTTTGTGCTGGTAAACTTATCATCTGAAGCCATCGGCTTGATCTTTAATCAAATATAGTTCTTATGACGTCATTTAACCATTAGATAATAAAAACATTTTTTATGCGCTTTCTTTTTCTCATTTGCCATATCGACGGTGAAGCTACCGGACCAAGTATCTCATTTGCGGTGTTTAAAAATCTCTGCTCTGGTTTTATTCTATTGAAAGAACACAAATCCATATCTTTTTTTGAGATTTTACAGATCTTCACACAGAGAAAAAAAGACATGGAAGTTTTTAAAAATTGACGTTCAAAAGTTTTCCATTTAAAAATAAAGTATAACAGGATGTCTACAACATCGCAAACGGAGATACGAGGTCCGGTAGTTTCACCGCCGACAGTTATGTAAATCCCCCAGAAGCGATAGTCAGGTCAATCTGATCCAGCTTGGGATTGTTAGGGGTAGTCCTCAAAATTTTCAATATTTGTTGACACTTGATTTTTTTTAATTTTTCAATATTTGATGTGATTATTTTTTTAAGATGTACATTATTTGTAAACTTATATCTGAGGCTCGTATGTAGCGGCCCCGTACAAAGCTCAGGCCTCGTGTTTTTAGCAAGCCTCAGGTCAATTAAACCGGGCTTGGACATCTAAGGGTTAATGTACTTTGAAAATGAAACATGTAAGTCGCGTTAATTTGTGTTTGTCGTTAATTGTGTGTAAGAATTTTTGCGCAGTGAAAGTGTGTATTATGCGCTCAAGTTATCACTACAAAAAATGGGGGAAGTGAGATAAAAATCATTCGACAATTTACTGAATCTCTTCTTTCCGGTTGGAGACCCATTATAAAAGAGCTTTAAAATACTTCAAAACTATTGAAGAGAGAGAGAGCAGAAAAATCACTCATGAGCTCGATAAAGCACAATGGAAATAGAGCATGCGAGAGAAAAGACGTGCGTTGGTGACGGCGCAGAGATACAACTATGATGGGTGCTGCTCACCAGCAGGTGGGTTGCTCAGATTTGGTGTTGCTCAGATTTGAGAGAAAAGTTTAAAAAATGGAGCCCAAATACATCTTCCCCATTCCCGACTGTGTTTACATTCGATTTTTTTTTCTTTTTTTAATTTAATGTTTGATTTTTTTATGTATTTATTTGTATACTTATATCGCTAGAACTCGTGAGTACTGGCCCCATACAACCCGCGGAACATGTACTTTTAGCAAACCTCGGGTAAATTTGGCCCGACTTGGGTATCTAAAGGGTTAAACTGACAAGAAAGGTAATTATGAATCCTCTCCACTTTTTCCGTTTAGGATTCGAATGACTACAGGATTACATTGCACTGCTTCAACAAGGAAACCTCGGCACTCAAGAATGCATTAATAATGACAAACAGAATAGAGTGGAAGTCACCTAAGACGACAGTATGGTTCACTGCATTTCACGATGATTTACTATCCACTGTGAATGAATGTCTCTCTACACACAAGTTTCAAACTTTTGTAAAAGCAAACATCATATACGTATGGAAATCTCCTGACCAGCTCGTTGAACGCGAAATCTTGTGAGTATAAGAGTGAGGATTTGTTTTGTTTCTCTTTCTTTTTCCTTTTTTTTTATCTTGTTATTTTAGATAATTTAAGCAAAGTTTTTCTTAAATGAGGCCTACTTTCATATGGATTACATTTTGCACTAAGGAACCACTATCTCTGGCTCGCCCATAAAAGCACTTATCTGCAAAGGGAAACCAATGTCATTTATGATGTTTCGAAAATGGGCCAAAAATAGTGGTTCAAAATGTAATCCATATGGTTTACCCACTAAAGGCCATGGTGAAGAGCAGTGCCCGGTGCCAATTAATGTTGATGTCGAAAAACACATAAGGGTGGAAAGTTCAATTTTCTATTTAGGAGAACTTTAATCTAATAATCAGCCTTCTTTTTATGTGAATTTCCGGGGAAATCTTTTTGATTCACGGTATTTAACTTTTTCTCTATTTTTATACAGCTGCCCTGAGGATGTTTTTCTGGCACCTGTGGACCTTAAATCATTAGATATGGTTAAAAGGCACCGATGCCAATTCCCTGGTGTGGAAGAATTTGTTGCAACGCTTATATTGCACAAGCCAAGCCTGGGAGTTTATTCACGCAGAACTGGAGAGCTTTGCGCCTGGGTTTTATGCAATGAGTTCTACGCATTGGCCTCACTTCACACACTAGAGGCACACCGCCGAAAAGGCTACGCGCAACTCCTGTGTAACGCATTGAGTGAACAGCTTCTCCGATCGAATATCATCATTGGAGCTTTGGTGGAGGATACTAATATTCCCTCGCTAAATCTGTTTAAATCTTTGAATTTTAAATCTGTAAAACCAATACACAGCATCTCCGCGGCACGTTCAGTCACAGTCAAAGAGTGAATAATTGTTCATTTTTAGGAATTAATTCCGTTAGGTATAAAAATTGACTGCCATGCTGAGGTTTAAGGCAGTATATGAATATTTAGTGGTTGCCAAATTTCTTCTAACGGCATATATTTTTTTAAACGTTTCAAGTTTACTAATTTTAAGTATGAACACTATTTCCAGAAAAATTATTTAATGGAAAATAGTCACAAATTTTCCTGAAAATTGGTGTTTTCAAAGGCAAGTCGCCTAAACTTGTATATACGGCGTTTTGCATTGGCGTGGAAGGTTCGATCAGCACTACTCATTGCTTTATTGCGAACAATGAAGAGCTGTGCATCAAATAGTGAGGCTAAAAAAGAAGGTTGAGATCAGTGGCGTGGCGTGCTTTGCGATTTATCGATTGATCTGTCATTTAAACCTATGGAAGAGGATTGATTAACAGGGTGTTCTTATCGAACACCTTAATAATCGATTCTTCACCACGGATTCAAATGGGGAAATATCGGTAACCGATCATGGTTGAGATCTACTACCCTACACCTATAGGGCCTTAATATATTCTCTTGTCTCTTTCTTTGCTTCATTCTCAATAAACGTATACGGACTATATAGACGTGATGAATAGCTATCATGAGGAATCAAAAGGAAGAAACACATAAAAAGGATTTACAACACTTTTATAACAAAGAAACAAACAAATAAGTTAATTCAACTCAAGAGTACAAAGATCAAAGGCTCAGTTTGAAAACTGTATGAATAAATTAATAAATAAGTGAAATAAATTACAAATAAATTAATGAAACTTCAAGTAAATTAAACAATATATTATTTTACATAGTCGGAACATTTTTCGTTTAATCGTTGGTGGGGGGGGGGGGAGTATTGAATTCAGAATGATTGTGATTTACTGACACCGTTCTGAAAATTTCTAAAGGAAATTTAAGTAGATCCGAAAATTATGGATTTGAACGGCAAGTAAGGTAAGCAAGTCAATGCGCCTTCATATCATAACACATGCAACGCGTACAGGCGAAGTTGCATCAGGAGTAAACAATGAGGACTATTCTCAGAATTAAAGGCCAGGAAGGGGAAATGAGGGTCAATGTGGTTTATCACTTCATTAGAGGTTTTCAAAAATTGAACACATTCACAAAAATATAATATATGCATGGCGAATCACCGTGTAAACAAAAGACTCAGCCTTCCAATTCCGTTTAGCTCCAAATGCAGTCATTGCTCGAGCTAAAGAGCAAGTCGATGGTGAGGTTTTTTTGGTTTTTTTCTGTTTTTTTTTGCGATTGCAGTTGCAGAGAAACCTATTTGCGGCATTCCATTTCCACATTATTCGTGTGTCATATTTATTTACACTAGGAAAATCCAGTCATCTATACTTTCAGGAGCCACGACTTTATTTTCACCACGAGAAACATTCTCTCTGGTTTATAATTACGTGATTATTTCAGTTGATTTTCTTTGGAAAAACAAAGAAAAAGGTGGGAGGAGAGACCGCAATTGGAATTCCCGTGATTCTAGCTTCATTGTCAATGTGCAACTCATCTTTCGTCAAGTTATTTTCAATATCAATTTTAATTTGCTGAAGCCGTGTAGGATGAAATGGCGGAGTTTAATGATTCACTTGCATGCAAAATCAGAAAGTGCGGAGGTTCCGCAAAGTATACGGACAGAACAACAAAATGTGATGCGTGAAACATTTCCAAAACGAAATGGTAATGGATCAGTGACAAAACACGCAATCACTTTCGTCGGAGGGAGTAACCAGCGGAAATCGGGGAAATGGTGGACATCGGAGATAAGCTGCATGGTGCATATTCATGATTCAATAATTCCAAATGCACTTGAGCGGTTGGGGCCTTGGGTCACAACGGTGAATTTGATTTGATCACCAATAAACCAATGTGCTGATCGATCGCTTCGGTAACGTCAGGGGAACCGAACCTCGTTCTGGGTCTGTCAGTGTGACATCAACGTTTCTCGATCTCCTGCAAATTGAAAGAGCAATTCATGTTTTGTAAATCGCATTGTACTACGCATTGTCAATTTTTCAACACTTAAAATTTGGGCAATTTATTTAATAAAACAGTTTATTTTAAATAATGGAAGTTATCTATTCTTTCAGAATCGACGGTTCTTACAGGATGTCCCAGACCACCCGCATAATAAGCTAATTTCTCGGTTATTTTAAATTAAATCGAGTTAGATAAGTTAAATCGAGTTAATTAAGTAGGAGAAATCGAAAGCCTCACATTGCCTTCAATTTATGATACTTTGCAATATGTGAGTTAGTTGCTTCAAGCGCCGTAGTACGCTGCGGCGCGGCGCGGCGGGCTGGCATTGGCGCCTACAAACCTAACAGGGATACTTCACGCATTGCGCAATGCGTGAAGTATCCCTGTTAGGTTTGTAGGCGCCAGTGCGCCGCCGCGCGCAGCTCCGCTTTGTGTTAGGCTCTGATATTTAATCTCGTGGAGTCAGCGTTTTTCAACTCATGATTTCGAAATGGTGATTCCGTACAAACTTAAGGATTTAAAAAGCACACGAATTTTTACACAATTTCTTATAGCCTTTTATAGCCGATGGCGAAAAAGCAATAGCCAGGCGATAAAGTGTAAAGCCCGGCGATAGGAACTATAGCCCGGCTGTATAATTTTTTATCGCTTCGTGTAGCCCGGCCGTATGATTTTTTCCACTTTCTACAGCCAGCTATATGATTTTCTATCGCGCCTTCTTCAGTCGGCTATAAGAACTCCTACGGTATTTTGAAACGTAGCTCCTATCGCCAATTTTTACCAGGGTTAATGTGCCTAAACCCCACCATATAAAGATTATTCTATTGATTTGCGTCTGAAAGAATTAACTATATAAATGACCAGCTCCGTTTGATGGGCTTAGAGTACAAGGCGCATAAGGCAGTTTTCACAAAAATTGAGATTTTAATTATTTCAATTAAAACTAGTCTCAATACATATTTTGAGAAAAAATCGTTCCCAAATTCCAATTTTTAAGCATTTAAAAGTCAGTTTGAACTTATGCGCCTTGTCCTCCAAGCTCCTCATTTAGTTCTTGCCGTTCATACCGAAAATGACATCAGTTCTTCCAGCGCCCAATCAGTTGTTCGGAATATGGAATTTTCAAGAAAATACGTTTTTTCAGCTTAAAAAATCAGATATAATTACGTAAAAAAATTGGGGAGTAGGAGAGCGATAAGTGATGCTATAGTTTCGTGAGATTCTACGAAATAGATGAAAGGAAATTTCTTACTTGTTAAACAGCACGACGACAACTCCACCGTCGGGGTTGATAACTCCAAGCGAAAAGACCTTATCAGCTGAGTCGGGGGCGATACCTATCCTAGAGGCGCCTCGACGAATGAATTTTGAAAAATGTCCCAGGGCGTAGAACATGGGCTGTTTGTAGAACTCGTCATTGTTCGGGTCTACGATGATCGGTGAGTCCACGAAGTTTTTCGCCCAGTTGGGACCTCCTTGCTTGTCCAGGGCTAGATTCCAGTCCACCCAGCCGGCGACCCAGTGATGCAGGTCCTGTAATGTGAAAAGGTCCATTCAGAAAACGGCTTCGCTAAGTCCCTTGAAGGACAATTAGTTATCGTTTTGTTTTTCGAACATTCCTCTCTGCATTGAAGCAGCTTAATTCATAGGAATTTACAATATAATTACAACTTAAGCTGAGGAAAGGGTGTAACTAGATCCTAACAGCCTCGCGGCTACTTCCCTGAAACTCATTCGCATCTCAGGCATTATGCGTTATACGTTACGCATTATTCTTATGTTTTTATATTACCTATAGACAAATGCTTTGAAAAAGAAAAGGTTAAGTTGTTTATGTTCGTCTACATCATCCAACAATGTCACTGTTATTCAATCGAAGGTGGTTTTGGAATCCACAGCGCCCGGCGTGAAGCAATTAAAGGTCGCTTGCAAAATTACATTAATTTTTCGCGATAATTTTTTTGTTTCAATAAATTGCCTTACAGAATTTCCGGCTCCATTACATGAGATGAAAACAGAATTAGCGCGGACTAAGATAAGAAGACTGGGATGAGTAAGCCATGGTTTCAGACGCCTGACAAAAATTTCGCATACAACTATACATACTCATCAGATGTCTAAGTTGCATAAGTAAACAATTGAAGGCGCTCTGACTGTCTTAAAACTTTAACAACGAACAGCAATATAAAACGTACATAAATTAGTGATATCAATGACGGAAGGTACCTCGCGACGACTTTGTATTTTTACTGAGACCAATATCAAAGTTCCTCAAAGTGTTTTGTCCAAAAATATCCTTCAGATTCTCTGTTCAGTCTGAGAAATACCGTACCAAATCAGTGGGTGTCAATAAGTCCAAAGTCCCTTAAAATTTAATACTTCTCAACTAACATCGGCGGTGATCTGTCGGTGGATTTTTTACTAGTTATTTCTGCGAGTACGTTATCAGCACAGGGTAGACAAATTCCTTTTGGACATCCTCTTTAGTCATAGATAGACTTTTTTCGAGTTTTATGTTGATTGATTTCTGTAAGTGTATTATCAGCAAGGGGTGAAAAAACTTTTTTTTTTTTTAAAATCTCTCCCTGTTATATTAACAGTTGTTTTTCTAAAGGGTGTGTATTGTGATATTTTTTTTCACCAACGAAACGTGTATTTAAAAGGTCTATGTTAGGAAATTTTCAGGTAAGTTTCTCTTGTGTTGATTCTTCTCCTGGGGTAATAGCGTTGGTGATGCCCATTGTTGACATCCGTATTAATAATGCATGATCAATAAACCCTCCTCCCTGAGCGACGATATACGTGCTTAATAAGCTGTTATATGCTTTCGTAATACTGATAACTAATGCATCTTTGGTTCCTGCGATAGGTATGATAAAATCTCTACATATTACCTGAATTACGCTTTCAATGTAGGCTTCTGCACGCTTCCATGATCCAAGCTGAACCTTTTTCCAATCCCACGGCTTGTCTCCTGCATAAAAGAAACAAACGATGATGGACAATGAATAATTTTTTAAAATTCAAGTAGGTACTCTTTAGGAGCATTGACAATGTAGCGATTGTTGGGTTTTTAATTTTAACTAAACAAATTGTCAGATTTTTCTGATGTTTTCTCGTTGTTGTCAATGCCTGCGAGTTATCTGTGACCCTGTTCACATATATCATCACCTTCCGGTCAAAGTGTCACATGCGCCTGGGGCGTTTAAAAATTTTCGCCGCCATTTTATTTTTTTTTTACAGGGAAATTATTGATTAAATCTGTTTGAAAATTTCACTGAAATTTATCGGCAGCACAAATATAATTCAGTGAAATTTTCGGACAGCTTCATTGAACAATTTCTCAGTAAAAAAATAAAATGATGGCGGAAAGTTTTAATCGTCCCATGGCGCTTGTGATACTTTGGCCGGAAGGTGACGATATGCTCGTTGGATTACTAAGATTTTTATTTTTAATATCTTATTTTATTCTATTTATTTTTTATTAAAATTTTAAGTTAAGTTAAACTAATAATTTTCAAAATTATAATGAGCCAAAAAGAGGTTGTAGATTACTTTACCGTTACAAGCTTCCGTATTGATGATGAATTTGTCGGGGAATTTGGTGTGCGTTCTGTCGAGGACGTTTACAGGAACGATGTTATCTAGGTACCAATGGACTCCTATGCCATCGACAAACCGAGCTGTGTTTGGATTCCGCATTACCTGCGCCATGGAAAAAAGAAAATAAAACATATCGTTCTAAATTTGTTCGATAGTTCGCAAAATTAGCACCTTATAATATGGAAGAAGTTTTCCAGAAGATCGAGATTTGCGCGTAAAACCCTAAAAAACAGCTTTTTGCCCTTTTCCTTTTTAAATGAATTGATTTTTTCAATCCAAGTTCAAGAAGCAACTTTTGTTCAGTTGATTGAAACCGAAAAATTACAGTAGTGTACGCGTATATGTAAAGTTGTCCCTCAGTTATTCAAAAGTGAATGCTGGAATCCATTCTTCGACGTAACTCTTTTTCACCATCATGAATTCCTATTTTCTCTGAGATAGGCGTTTCTTTGGGGAATGCTCTTGAAATGACTTGAAATGGAGGAAAAAATGTTAAATTTCCGCTGGAAACCATTGTTGTCAATGTGTCATGTGTCAATATTCCCCCCCCCCTTTTTCCCCCTTTTTTATGATGGAAATCGGCCACTACCCAAGGTAAAAAAATTCGGCATTGCAGCACATTTTTTCCCCTCTTTCACGCAGAAAACTATGAACATAGTGGCGATTCTGGAAAATTGGCAACACTGTTTATCCTCTATTTAAATGGTTGTAGGACATTTCGTCAACGATTTTTTGTCCGCGCACCTGTTTTTTCCAGTAATTTACGTCCACGCGTTTTTTCAGCACGGGAGTTTTGGTCCACGTACCAGTTGAGACCCAAAGTTAATTGGCCTACATGTAAATACAAACGACAATTGCTCACGACGTTTTCGGATGAAAATATATGATGTCTTGGAAGAATGAGGGTTTGCTTGTTTTTTGTTTTGTCTATTTGGTCCAACGAAGAATAACATATAGTTGAGAGGTTTGGTAATAATGGAGGAGCGTCAATTCCATGAGACAAAATTCACTAAAACTCTCTGCACCTCTTTGGTGTAACAGGACTTAATTATCTTTAAAGAAATTCCCACCTTGTTATACCTGAACTGGATAAACCTCTATATTCGCCTCAGCTAAAGGCTCTTAGATTTTTCCTGTGTACGATACGTATCTTGATTTATTTTGCGAGGAAAGATCTGTACTTTTAAAGGATGCCTGTCATTCTTAATACGTTGAATTTCGTATAATACTGTGCAACACCTCTGTTGTGAAATGGTTGCTTCAGGCGCCGTCGCACGATACGCGCATTGGCGCCTACAAACCTAAGTGTATACTTCAAGCATTGTGCAATGTGTGAAGTATCCACTTAGGTTTGTAGGCGCCAGTGAGCCTCTCGCGCTGGCAGCACGCCGCTCCGCTCTGTTCGGCTTTAATACTTATACTCGCATAGTCAGCGTTTTTTAGCTCATGATTTTGAAATGTAAGCACACTCTGCATTCATTATTCTCATTTAAATTGATGGGGAAAAAATATGTATCAATTTATCAAAGGAGAATAATAATATAATGTGTGTTTTTTAAATATTGGTGGTTCCGTGTCAAATTTAATGCTTTCCAAAGCACTCTATAGTCTCTATATCGTTGGTTTTTCTTATGTTTAAATGGAGAAAAACAGTGTTGCCAACTTTCAATAATCATCGCTAAAAAGTTGTTTTGTTCATGTTTCACTTACGATGTCCATCCACCATGGCAGGAGGATCCGCTGATCGTCCAGGCCGATGATGAGCGTCTGGTTGTGGCGGGAACTTCGAATGCTCGGTCCAAGGTTTTCTGAGATCCACTCGCTGTGTGCCGCAGGAGTCCAGCCGAGGGAGTTGAACCGGTTGATAGGCACCATCCCGTTCAAAGGCTCGTTACCTGTCGTTACAGCCCAGAAATTGACTCCAGCTTTGTGGTACTCGTCCAAGAATCTTCGGCGGAAAATGGGATGAACATAATCAATGATAGGGATTAAAGTATATCAAGTGAGAGTGCAAGTGCTGTAGCACAAAAAAGGAACCCCCCCGTTGGAGCAGGTTGAATGGAGCGGGGCGGGTTCCCCCATCCCCAAGTAACAGTGATTGCTTTAAGTCGTGATTTGATTTGTGGCGGCCAATCACCGCTCACCTCTGGCGACGCAGCCCATGCTCGCCCCTGATTGGCCGCCGCAGTCTCAACCATGACTATATATGTCGTGACCTCACCGCTCCAAGACACTCCGCTCCCGTCAGTCACACGGGCCTCATCACTCATCCCAGCGGACGTCTCGCAGCCGGCCGGCTTGCCATTTCCAACGGCTCTTCTTAGAGCCACCAACACTAGAGCACCACATCATGGTCATTGGCCATATTGGTGACTCCCGCCGTGAATATGTACACCCTTCTGAATCAGTCAAATCAAGCAAGCATCTTCACTTCAAGAACACGCTCAACCTTCTCTCAAGTCATTTGAACTCAAGCATTCAAAGTCAAACATCTCACCGGAACAGTCATATTTGATCATCTTAGCATGAGCATTGAACGCTTCCAACATCATCACCGCATCGTATCCATCCCTCTCCGCCGCGCAAATCACCACGCTCCAGCAAGTTGCCGCAGAACACAGCACGTTCCCAACTTGTTGTCCCGAGCATCAACCTCTTTGCCCGGAAAGATGATGGTCACATAACTTCAACCGTGTGTCACCCGGGTCGAATGGCGCTCCCCGGCACGCTGACATGCACTCCTTGCTTCGCACCACTCAATCAACCCTCAAATCACTCAATCAATCCTCAACTCACTCAATCAATCCTCAACTCACTCAACCAACCAACCCTCAGCTCTCTCCATCATCACTCAATCAAATCCTCAAACTTCCCATCATCACTCACTGAATCCTCAACTTTTCATCCACTTTACACACATTTTCCAAACCTGTTTCCACTCCAACATCCAATTTCACCACTCACTTCTCCAACCACCCACAGAGACTCCGTCTCAACCGCAGGGAAGTACTGTGGCGGCCAATCACCGCTCACCTCTGGCGACGCAGCCCATGCTCGCCCCTGATTGGCCGCCGCAGTCTCAACCATGACTATATATGTCGTGACCTCACCGCTCCAAGACACTCCGCTCCCGTCAGTCACACGGGCCTCATCACTCATCCCAGCGGACATCTCGCAGCCGGCCGGCTTGCCATTTCCAACGGCTCTTCTTAGAGCCACCAACACTAGAGCACCACATCATGGTCATTGGCCATAGATTGGAGAACGTATCGCGATTTTATCGATGCCACTATCGGATAAAAAGTTTCGATAAATAGTTAGTTTTGCATTAAAATTGCGATTTTATTTACGGAGCTCTATTGCAATATTTTGGAACAAAAAATAGAGATAAATTGAGATAAAATGTCGATTTTACTGAACGCAACTGTAGAGAAATAAGATTACGACAAGATCGAGAATAATCGCTCAGATGTTGATCCAAGCGATTTTATCGCAAAATATCGTAAAAAAATGGCTACTTAATTTCAAAATATCGCGATTTTTTCGTTAAAAAACGCTACTTGGGTCCGGTGGGCTCATTTCAAAGGAATTTCCTTTTAACATTCTTACCATAATTTCCCGCTGTATGCTTATGCTATTAGCAATGATTATGTTATGATCAATTCCGAGGATCTGTTTCTATACTATCTTTGGGTCATCCCAACTAAACCGAGCTACCGTCTCGGATGGTTGTTAGTGAGAACTGACCCGAAGGTTGGAGCGGAGTCCCTGAAAATAATCGTGGTCTGGGCATAATCCAACAGAGCCAATATAACAATGATAAGAAGAAAATTTTTCAACGTATGAAAACTTGGAGACCACTGACTTTCTTCTGAATGATTGCAAAACTTTTTAAAAACAATTAATATTTTTTTTGGAATTGTTGAGTGGGTACTATCTCCATTTTCATCGCGAATTTCGTGAATGGATCAAAACACCGAACCTTTGAAGACGACATTTCGTGCGTAATCGATAAGCGATTGAAAGCTCCTTCGAGTTTGTATCAAGATGTGCGACATTATGATACAAATATTTTAACTCCGGCGTGGGCTGTGAGGTATCACACGAAACTGAAGGCGTTTTTAACCGGTGACAACCGCTTGTTGCAGCTCACAGCGATTTGTACGATGTAAACGGATGCAATAATATAAACCCACATCTTCCGCCAAGATATGAACCCTTTACGCTTTGCAGGAACATTAATTGCAAATTATAAAAACAGCTCCCATTAAGGTTTTTCGAATAAATGCGGTACGACACTTCATGAATGTTCGAAAAGCGTTTAAGAGACACTTTGAGGTTTTCACCCCCCTTCCCCTATCCCCTTCCTAGGCATCAGAAAGAAACCTTCGCACCTTCCATTTGTATTCCTTTGACACGATTTGTCTGTCCCCACTTTAATTCTTTAGAAAATGTCGAAGAAAGCCTGAAAAATAGCTGGTGCAGTTACATTTATTAAAAAAATCTCATTATGTTGTTTTCCTTATGAAAAAGGGAGGCTTACTTATATGACTGAGCTTCGGCTCCTTTTCAACCTCTCGTAAGTTTACGTAAGACAACCCTAGACTTTTCCCCAGTCAAGAACGCCATATATATGAGCCGTCAGGCGTTGCCAAATATCTTTTGATAAAACTCGAATTTCCTAGCGAGTTCACGAATACTTTCCTCCCGATTTTCAGATAATTTGTTTCACAATTTTGCCTAAAATTTCTGTGGAAGAACGCCGTATGAACCTTCAGGCGTTGCCACAGTTCCTCTGATAAAACACGAATTTCTTGATTTTATCAATATTTTTCTATCAATTTTTCATGTAATTTTTTTTGCAATTTCTTCTAAAGTTCCTGAAAATATCAAGGAGAAAAATTCGTATTTGTCCGCAAAAATATACACTTTATGAGAACGAATTTGGCAACTCTCGAATGTTCATACGGCGTTTTTCCTCAGCACGGCAGTACAGTATCCTGCGCGTTATACTTAAACGGCTCCTGCAATGGTTTGAATTTTCAAATTATTAAGTATGCAACCACATGAAACGTTTGTGAAAAATGTAGCATACCTTATGTGATACTGGGCCCAGGCTTGATTGAAATCCTTTTTCAGGAATCCGAATCCACTGAAATCGTGATTGGTCTTCATCCACGGAGGTGCAGTCCATGCTGTGGCGATTAACCTCACTTCCTCGTCACTCATGGCTTGAGCTCGATGCACCAAAGGAATCTAGACAATTTTCAAAACAGATATGTTATAATAAGCATGATTTTGCTCAAAACAGCTAATTCATTGCTTATTGTCTATTTATTGAGATTCAATTAGTGGGGACCCGAACGCTGAAAAAAAAGTTACGGGCTGTATAGACTTACCGTCCGTGTTCCGGGCTCAGAGGCCGAAAGTTCCGGGAGTTGGAGCCGTAACTTCGATTGCTCCGGGCGCTAAGCCCGGAACTTTCGGCCTCTGAGCCCGGAACACGGGCCGATGTGTCTATAAACTCGTAAGTGCGGCCTCCTCGTCTGGAGTTTTTTTTGGTTAAGAGAAGCGATTATGAATAAGGTCCTAAACCCTGCTCAACACGCATGTAATTCCACAAAGATGTGGGTTCTGACTCTATATATTGTGTCCAAACGTCCAAACAAAACACATTAAATTGAAACTACGACAAAGAAGCATAAATGTATATGATCACAAAATTCAAAGTAAAAGATAAAAGTTTCCATAAATAGGGCTCATCTTTGCCCTCATTTGGATGGTTGGTAATCATATCCGCTCGAGAGATGAAACATTTAAAATGAAGTCTTGGGGTGAAACGATCTTAAAAGTAAAAGTGGAAATGAGTAAAATAAAGTAAAACCACAGTATAGATTAAAAGAATTGTAAAAATTTTGTGTGTTAAGTTTTTTGGAGTTCAGTTCTTTTTTTTGCTTGCTCTATTCCTTTGTAGATTAATGCTAAATTTTAGATTGTAGAACTTGCCTTGTACTTGTAGTCCTCTTTGGTAAGATTGAATAGAGAAAGCGAGGCGTCATTCTCATGATCGTCGTACGTGTATGTGTAGGTTGAAAAATCGGTTCCTGCTATAGGCACCCGACCAAAATTGTACTCAATTCCTTCCGGGGAGAAGTAAGACCTGCAAATGAAAGAATCCACGCACTATGATTCTCAATACTCAATGCGTTCAAAGTTGTTGCATCATGCACCCTAGGGCCGCAGATTTTGAAGTCGTACGATGTCAGTTGTACTAGACAAAAGGGAAAGCTGGTACTTGTCATTTCATGGCAAAAGTTGAAAAATGCATGCCTGATTTCAAGCTACACATGCAACATCGATAGGTGAGAACGAGAAATGCGTATTTGTAACGTTGCAAATTTCCACTCATTTTTTTTTAAAGAAAACAGACTGACAATTCGCTTTAAATTTTTGTGATTTTTATTCTCTACTATTACTGATTACTATTACTGACTAAATACTGATTTTTATTGGAAACGATTTAAATAATCTCCAAGAGGCACCCCTGTAAAATTATATTTGCGTTATTCAACGTAATGCAAAAGCTTATTTACCCCAAAAAACTCACTAATTTAAACTCAGAATTATTTTTAAGTAATTGTGTTTTTAAATACATATAATTAAGGTATATTTAAAAGGCCAACTTTTAGTTTAACAGCATCTGCTCACACTACTGATTGGCGAAAAAAGAGATTTAATTTAGAAGTCTCTACCACGAAAACATTGAATGTCTCTAAATCAAACAACTTGAGTATATTACGGATTTCTATTTCCCACGGGGATCGTTGTAATTATTCCGGGTTCAGGAGGGTAACATCTCACCATTCACCTTCATATTCATCATTCTCGACCCTATTGAACCTCATTTGGAAGACTAGGTTCTCTAAGTATTTGCAGAGTTTAAATATGAAGAACTAACCTTAGTAAATTCTCTTGGGTCCTTTTGGTCAGCGACAGAATGTTGATACCTGCCGAGTCGGTAAATGCACCACCAAACCCTAGGATTGACTGGAACTTGTGCGTCCGTTGAACTAAGAACTCGACACCTGTAAGATGATCATTCCAAATGAATTGATGATATAAATAATGGGCAGTGGCGTAGAGTGAACAATCGATTATCGATATTTCCCCATTTGAAGCTACAGTAAAGAATCGATTATTAAGGTGTTCGTTACGAACAACCTGTTTTATCGATTATTTTCCATAGGTTTAAATGGCAGATTAATCGATATATCGCAAAGCACGCCGCGCCACTGATGATAGATAGAGATAAACAGACTTGGGAACGATAAAGCACCAAGTGAGAGAGAGGACTTTAATTTAAATTGCCCTCTTAAGATGGGTTTACAGCACTTTCGAGGACAGCGCGAGAACAGTTATTACTACTTTATATAAATAATGTGAAAAATACCTGTCATATTTCCAAAATCTGATAAAGCGGGCTTCAATCTACTCGTTTTCTCATCAAAAAGAGGGGTATGACGTTGAAAAACTAACCATTTTTGATGTTTTGGCTGGAGTCAAAGAATGAACCGTAAGCCGGTTGGAAACGAAGTCCCTCCTTGCTCGACGTGTACATCTGATACGTCCCAACGGGAATTTCCTTGATCTTTGGCAAAGAGTCACAGTAAGTTGAGTTACAGACACAAACAACGCTGTCATACTCGTACTGCCGTGAAAGACATTTGTTCCCTCCTCCTGTTAAGAAAATTCATAAGCTGGTGAAAATCGATAAACAATAAAATAATCAGCTGAACATTTTTGCCGTGGCACAGTGGATCGAGTCAATAGAAGAGGTCGGACAAAATTTGGAAACTTTAAACGCTTATAACTCCATTTTTACAAAACTTTGAGGTTTTAAAAGTCGTTTCATTGGTATTCTCGTGAAATTTTCTATCAGAACCACCCCTTACAGTATAAAATATGACGATTTAAACATTGAATAATGTGCAGTTTTAGTCAAACATTTCATGTCCAACCTCTCCTATTGACTCGATCCCTTGTGCGTGGTAAGGAAAAACGCCGTACAGACCTTTAGACGTTGCCAAATTTCCTTTGATAAAACACAAATTTCCTGGTAAACTCATAATATGTTCCCTCTAATTTTTCAGATAATTTTGATCGCAATGGAGATGTTGCATGTGTGAGGATTTGACTGAGGATTTGCGATTTGACTGTTGAATCTAATGTAAAAGTTCGCAAGAAACACGATGCTGCCACTGGTTTTCTCTGAAATCAACTCCCAAGCTCAAAAAAACCTCTCAAGTTGACGCCAAAATGGAGGGGATATCCCGTCCTACCCTGAGGGTCCACCTCTACATCAAGACAAACTCTCCATGCAAAGATAGGGAGCAAATACATTAGCAGTGATGCCGTGTTTTCAGCTTTAGAGTCCCCAAATAAAGTGGCAGCCCTGTCAATGTATTTGCTCCCTATCTTTGCATGGAGAGTTTGTCTTGATGTATAGACGTGGACCCTCAGGGTAGGGTGGGATATCCCCTCCATTTTGGCGTCAACTTGAGAGCTTTTTTGAGCTTGGGAGTTGATTTCAGAGAAAATGAGCTGTTTTTGAGCTTGGGAGATGAATTCAGAGAAACCAGTAGCACCATCGTGTTTCTCGCGAACTTTTACATAAGAATCAACGGTCAAATCGCAAATTCCTCACACATGCAACATCTCCATTTCACTTGAAGTTCCTGAAAATTTCGAGGAAAAAATGTCATAACTTGCCTAAAAAATAAACATTTTATCGAAGGGAATTTGGCAACTCTCTAATGTTCATACGGCGTTCTTCCTTATTAGCACGGCAGATTTCATCTCAAGATTTTTATAAGCTAGGTATCCTCTGTTGCACCAAGATAAAATTATATACAAGATGGCTCACAGTACCCATTAACATCGTGTTGCCCGCGAACCTAGGCAGGCACTCATATATTTTAATTGGACGTATTTCTACCAAACAGAAGTATGTGCGGGTGAGGAAAATGGGGTATGCTCGTGGTGAGCTGCAAAAGAAACAGTGTAAAAGTGGGTGTAATTCGTTTTGAAGAAGTGTAAAAGCTGGATTTAAATTCTGTCAAACGGAACTATGTGCAAACTGTAAGCTCTCATGAGCCGTGGGCATGGGACAGACAAGAGCGTCGGCTTCGTCGCCTCTGACGTCACTGGCGCTTTATAATTCCCATTCATTCTCACCGCCCGATAGGTAACTAACGAGCACACCCCATATCTCCCACCCGCACGTAAATCTGAATTATGTGACTTGCTGAAGATCCTAGCTTTCCTACGAGACAGTTTTATCATGTAACTGGGCAATCGCGCAATTTTTTCTTTTTTTTTTTTTTTTTTTTTTTTTTTTTTTTTTTATTATCACGAGTGGTAATTTTACCCAACGCATGTTCGGTAAGCTCAGATTCGGTAAATATTATTACCAACACAGTGAGGTGCGGTGAAGGACATTTTCTGGTTGAGACATAACGCCGCCAAACATCTTATCAAGAGGTGATAAGGCCTTCGTGTTGCACACATGCAAAAAAATCCTTGAATCCTTTTTAAAGATTCAGTAATTTACTAAGTTCGAAATTCCTCCTCTCTCTTTCCCTTTGTCTCACATTGAAATGTTGACTGCTTCATGTAGAACAATAAGAGCGACATAGAGATGGAAGTGTTAAAATATTATCTTCTCATCGTACTAGGCCCTTATCTGATTAAATGCATTCGTAAGCACAAGCTCATTGCACTATTGAAAAGGAACAGTTGAGAGGACACATTAAACGAAAATTGTTAGTAAATATAACTACGCACCGCCTTTTATCCAGAATACGAACAGTATCCAAATGAACAGGTAAAGATTCCATCTCTCGACCATTCTCTGAAATGAAACAAGCCATTGAAATTAAGCTCAGTTTTATACGCAGTGAAACTGCATGCAGAATTGTCTATCTTGTTTGCATTTCGCAGTTTTCCAAAATCTTCGCTCTCAAGTGTTATATGAACCGCGTTTAACAGAACCCTGGTAAGAATTGGCGATAGGAGCTGCGTTTCAAAATACCATAGGAATTCTTATAGCCAGCTAAAGAAGGCAGTAGAAAATCATATAGCTGGATGTAGAAATCGGAGCAAATCATACAGCCGGGCTATACGAAGCGATAAAAAAGTATGCAGCTGGGCTATAGTTCATATCGCCGGGCTTTATACTTTATCGCCATCGGCTATAAAAGGATATAAGAAATTGTGTAGAAATTCGTGTGCTTTGGAAATCATTAAGTTTGATACGGAGCCAACATAATATTCACAAAACACACATTATATTTTCCTTTAATACATATTTTTTTTCATCAATTAAAATGAGAATAATCCATACAGGATGTGCAAACATTTCAAAATCATGAGTTGAAAAACGCTGACTCCGCAAGATTATATTGGAGCATAACAAAGAGCGGAGCGGCGTGCTGCCAGCGATAAGCGCGCACCAGCGCCTACAAACCTAACTGGGATACTTTACGCATGGCGCAATGCGTGGAGTATCCCTGTTAGGTTTGTAGGCGCTAAGGCGCTTTTCGCGCTGGCTGCCCGCCCGCCGCGCCGCAGCGTGCCACGGCGCTTGAAGCAACTATTTCACACCAGAGGTATTGCACAGTATACAGCGCTTTAACATATTAGGAATGGCAGGCATCCTTCAAAAGTACGGAGCTTTCCGCGCAAAATAAATCAAGATACTACGGCCCAAAAATAGAGCAGTAGACCAAAAACTCACTAAGTCCTAGCATCAGTAATTAAAGAAATTGTGCAGCCGGCTATAGAAGCTATTGAAAATCTTACAGCCGGCTTTAGGTCTATGGTATTTTGGAACATAGATTCTACTGCCAATTTTTACGAGGGAAAGGAACCAAGCCACATCAGCTATTGCCAAATTTAAATGGACAGTTTAATTTTTTACGAGAGAACGTTTGTGCGGATTCCTTTGCAAATTATAAGGAATTTGCTTCGTACTGCATACAAAATTTACTGAAAATTGCACGAAAATCCGCCCAATCGTTTCCATGTAAAAAATTAAATAGCGCAATTAAATTTGGCAATAGCTGATGTCTTGGTTCCTTTCTGTTTAACGCGGTCCATATTACCAATGGAGATCAAACCAACTGGAATTCCTCACAGAATGTTCTTCAAATACACACCAAAGAGCAACTTTAACATCGCTTTCTGGCGCTCTATGACATCTAGCCTAACAGGGAAGTTTTTAAGGAATATAACTTTGAACATTTTTTCCATTTAGAAAAAAATTGTATTAAAAGTCTGCGGCGTCACAAATTGAGATACGCGTTTTTGTAATTTTATCGTCGATTTATTATGATATAGGGATATTTTTTAAACATCTCAATATCAATTTATTTGGTATCATTGGGGGTGGATGTACGTTTAGATATTTATTCCCCGTGCATTTTTTCTAATTTTAAATTTGTTTTCAATTTTTTTAATGATGCCTTAGTGCAAGACTTGCTGATGATAACCGCACATTATCTTATCAAGAGAAACAATGAAACAAATAAAACAGTCCAGAGAAGCAGCAAAGACTACGGATTTCTCTATGCTTCTCATTCTCCTCCTTTTCTCTTCTTCTTCTGCTTCCTCTTTTTCTCCTTTTTTGCATTCAAATAGCATTGATTCCCAATAAATTGCGAATACATGGTATAATATGAGTGCTGTTGCATCGGAGTGTCGTGTATGTTGTCTATTGGCTGATTGAAGGGGCTCATCTATAAGCGATAAAATCTCTAGAGATTTATTGTAGTGAAATTGAAAGTTGCAGTTATTTTTGAATCGCAAATTACCCTCTTTTCTCACACATGGAACACATTTTATTGATCGTTTAAAATCGGTATTTATTAATTAAACGACGGAAACAATCGCAATTTCGTGGTAAAAAAATTGCAATTTAATTGCATTAAATTGCTACCTGGGTTTGTGGTCTATAGTGATATCCTGCTTTTAACGACTGACAAGGTTACTCTAAACAAATAGTGACTTTTCTCATATACATGCACCAATTTTGGCTTGCCCAATCTTCACAATTTAAGTTACTCTGTTATCTAAACTGTCAAATGGCTCACGTTTGAGGTGATAAGACCTTACGCAAGGCAACGGCTCAAATACGATCCCTGCACCTTTTTTAAAAACAACCTGGGAATTCCGTTGTGATAATGATTTTTCTTATCGCACAGCAAAGATAAGTAGGCACTTTGGTTATTCCCACCAAATTGAAAGCATTTGTGCAAAAAATCTCATCGTGAATTAACCGTGTCTGACCGGCTCCTGATCAACTCTGACCATAATTCTGTCGCACAGTTTAACCTTGACCTGCGTTTATCAATTACAAAGTCGCAGCGCACGGCTCTCCGAGGATGCCGTTTCTGTTTAATAATGCTTAAAACTGGTTTACAGTTGGTTAATACGTCTATTTTGGGAGAAATTTCATATTAATTGAACCGTTTTCTTACGAAAGGGTGAACGCACCAAAACCTCGCGATCACTTTATCAGTCATGTCTTCCAAGACCTTGTCTCCACGGGACGTTTCATGGGATTTGTCCCAAGTTAGAATCGCAGGAATGGAACTTCTGGGCTTTTTCCCCGCTAAACAAAACAACAAAATGTCTTGTTCTCCTCTAGCTGACAATGAGTCGCCTTTCGGACTCCACAAAGACCCTTCATGGTACTGTGATTAGCATTGACTATGACTGAATGTTTTTTCCAACTCCGCAAGTTAGATTTTTCCCTGGAATGAATCCCACGTGACGTCCCGTGCAGTGACATGGCGTGCTTTGCGATATATCGATTATTATGCCATTTAAACCTATGGAAAAGGATCGATAAATAGGGTGTTCGCAGCGAACACCTTAATAATCGATTCTTTACCATAGGTTTAAATGGCATAACAATCGATATATCGCAAAGCACGCCACGCCACTGGTGGAGACACGGCCTACGGCTAACGAGACTTGGGTCCTTCCGTGAATAAACGGTTCATTTCAGGAGGCGAGAGTCAAACGGTGTGCGATTAGTTTCAGCTAAAGTTGTTATTATTCATAAAATAACTATTGGAAATAAGATTATTGTGATAGGCTCATATTTTTTATGGGCTTTTTGGCTTCATTCAAACAGAATACGACGGCTGAAGTAAAAAAAAAGAAAAAGAAAAAATACATTTGAACTTAAACTCCAAGCGTGAACTAAAACGACGAAAAATAGAGCGTTTGAACAAAAGCACCTCTATATAACGCTCGGCTTGTATCTTAACATAAATCAATTGAGCACGAGTCCTCGCTTGACTTTCTCAGCACGAAATCACCGAAGATGCATTTTGTAGGAGATCGATTTTCAAAGCCTCGTCGACAGATTTCGGCGGTCAATTTAAAAACGAACGATCCTTTCGGATGCATAATTCGGGCTTTTTCACATCGCCTGACAACGGTACGCTCTGAATTTTGATAGACCCGAGATTAACCTATGCGTTACCATTAGCGACACCTCCCACTAATCGAGCCGTTGAAAAGATGTTTGTGTTCGACCCATTAACATGTATCAAGTGAAAACAATGATAGGCGGAGAAAGTCCTCTCTCAAGAAGGAAGGTTGAGCTGGTTGGTTTTGAGGAATTGTTTTTTGGTTGCGCGTTGAGTCCTGTGATTTGCGAAGAGTCTCGAAGATAATGGGGATGATGCATGTGTGAGAAATTTGCGATTTGACTACTGATTTTTATTTAAAAGTTCGCGAGAAATTCGATGGTGCCGCTGGTTTTCTCTGAAATCAATTCCCAAGCTCAAAAAAAGCTCTCAAGTTGAGCCCAAAATGGAGGGGATATCCCACGCTATCCTGAGAGCCCACCTCTATATCAAGACGAACTCTCCATGCAAAGATAGGGAGCAAATACATTAGCAGGGTTGCCTTGTTTTCAGTTTTGGAGTCCCCGAATAAAGTGGCTGCCCTGTCGATGTATTTGCTCCCTATCTTTGCATGGAGAGTTTGTCTTGATGTAGAGGTGGACACTCAGGGTAGGGTGGGATATCCCCTCCATTTTGGCCTCAACTTGAGAGCTTTCTTGAGCTTGAGAGTTGATATCAGAGAAAACCAGTGGCACCATCGTGTTTCTCGCGAACTTTTACACAAGAATCAATAGTCAAATCACAAATTCCTCACACATGCAACATCTCCAATAAGAGAGCAAGTCAAACGCAATTTCAACGTCTATAGATGGGTCGTGAACCAAACTTGCAAAAAACCATAAGAGGCCAGTAGTGGATCATGAAAAAATAAATAATCATAAAAAACCTCGGTCACGAGTGGTAGACTACCATGACATAAAAAAACGCGGCCTGAGATTACGTTCTCTCATAACTTTGGCTCACGTAGCCATTGAGAGCACCACTGCAAAATTAAGGAAAATAAAACAAACGCAACGTAGAAATGCAGCAAGGGAAAGGATGCGCGTTGATGACGGCGCAGAGATACAACTATTCGTACTTGATGGATGTCCGTGTTGCATTTGCAAAATTGAAGGCGCGATGGTGCGAGGCGTGAACTGCCGGATTCGGGAGAAAGGAAGTCCGAATACGTTCCTCCTCTTCAGGTGTGGTGACACTCGGTTTTTTCTATTTTTCAATATTTGATGTCCGATTCTTATTTTATAACGTATTTGTAGACCTATAACACCAAGCTCATAAGTAATGGCACCATGACTCCCCTCGAAGAGAAAGCCGGGTCAATTTGACTCTTGAGATTGTTGGCGCAGCATCGTCAAGCGCCAGCTGTTTTTAAGTTTTGTTTTTTCAGTTCCCTCTTTGGATCTCTTTTTCTAGTTCAGTTCTGTCTGTAACC